AAGTTTCCCCATATATTAAATAGAAGCAAAACTTTTTGTTAGGATGCACCACTCCTGACAGTGTTCATAGCGAAACAACACTGCTGCCTTGTAGCACTGAACAAGAACCAACGTGTGTAAATTGCTGAAATGAAAAGTGAAAGTAGTCAATAATAATTGGCCTATCTGAGAAAAATGATACAAGGAAATTCTCATTAGTGTTTTGAATTCTTTTTTAGGCTCTAATATCATTGATAGTGGACATAGCAAACAAGGAAAGAAAAAAGAATAGGGAATTCAGGAGAGCTGAGCTTTTTCTGTGTTCTTGGGTTTGATTTCCAGCTCTGACACAAACCTAAAGTTAAATCTTCAAAGAAGTAGTTTATCGGATTTGTTGCTCATTTCTCCATTTTGGAATCGAAGTCCTTCCTTTACTATATTTTGTATATTTGGCTAAAATCTACTTTAGTAAGTGACTATAGCAGACTGTAAGAAGCCTTTACGACAACTCTCAGGATGATGATCTAACATGCTGCTTGAGTCTCTGAAACTATCACATATGTGACAGTAATGCAAATTCTGTCCTTTGCTTTTTTATTTCATCTTAACTTTGTCCTGGTGAAGTGCTCCATCTTAAAGAGCATGGGCCTCCACAGACATGCTGAACATCTCCCGTAAGAGTTGAGGGCACTCATCGCTTCCCAGGAGAAACAAAGTGTCTTGTACAAACAGACACAGGCTTTACAGGGTAAATTGAGATGGTTGACAGAGATAATAGCTAATCTGTAAGCATTCCATTCATTCATTCACAAGCACACTCACATAGGTATATCCCACATGTCAGATTAAAAAGAGATCGGGTATTGCTTAAGTGGCATCTAAAAATCTGTTATCAGTACTCGCCTCAAACTACTCTACCATGGCTCATAATAGCAAATGAAAAATACTTTTGTTTACTGTCACTTCTTCAACAGCTGGTAATGAAAAAAAGCCATCTCTGTAGCTCAACTGAACACTAGACTGCCCAGAGATAAGTAATAGGACAGACACTAGCACAGGACACCAGCTCATTCTCACCATGGTAGAAACTCTACTCCATACCCTCCAAGTGGGTGGGAAAGCTGCCCGTTGTGAGACCTCACTGTTGGCTTTCAGTCCAAAACCAAAGGATGGCAGTGAATTGAGACAAAAGCTTCCCAGTCACTTTCTTTACACTTACATACGACGCGAAATAAAAGCTCTGTTGTGCATGTATGTACACATCCATATTTAGCCATCATGTAAAACTGAAGTAGGATACTACCAATTTAAATTCCACAGGAGTTTTTGGCCATACACACCCTATCTGTTGTCATCCACATAGCTGCAAAGCTTGGGTAATACCTGATTGTCAGCAGGGTTTACTGTAGGTAATACCACTTCCACAATATTGGTATGTAACCCAACACAGAATTGTGATAGCACCCAGCACCACAAAACCACTGAGCATATAGGACAAAGACCAATTAAGATTTCAAGGGTCCTTGAGGGTAATTGGTGATCTCTTCCATTTCTAACCCTCATCTTTCTTGCCATTCTGATATTAACGAGGGCCAGAACTCTATTATTTGCCTTCACAGCATTTGCAGTTCAAGGTGGTGGGAGGAGAGCTGGAAATTGGAAAGTGCCTTTTTTGCAGAGAATCAGATTTGCTAATACCTGGTTGAACAGAAATCTAGTATCATGAGTATTATGAGAGTATTAACATCAAATAACTTTAGCACTCTACCTAGAAAATCACAATATTTGCAGCATGTCAATATTGCCATGACTGGGGATTTGTTTCAAATATATGCCACTGCTCAAAGGAATCTTGACTGCTACACTATAATGACTAATATAACAGATCATATCCATTACAACAATGAAAACTTGGCTGCATTAGAGCCATAACACTTGGTTCTGATGATATGAATATACCACTGAAAGATGAAGACCATGTGAAAGTAAATGTCAGGAATCCTAAAGGTCTGGTAATAATATTGAGTGTATTGTCACTGAAGCAGTTATCATAAGTAAGTTTTGGCAATACTTTATTTCTACTTCCTATCTATTGGATAGGCTACTGAGTGGAATGGATCATGCTTAGAAATAGCATTAACATGAACATTGCTAGATATTTGATCAAATAACTCTACTAAGGCAACCCACACATGTAACTCTGAGTACAGTGGCAGAGGAAAACAGACATCTAAAGGCTGCATCAGTAACACCTATTCCAGTGTTCTGATCTTTACAACTGTGGCTGTAACTATTCTTAAAACCAAACACTTCCACTTAAAACCAAATAAAAGCAACTGACCAGGACAATAAAAACACCATGCTCTGTTAAGAAGCATGTAGCAACTGACCCCAAGAAAAACATTATAGTGCACTTGCATTTTAGAAAAAATCAGGAGACCATTAGAGCCTGATCATTTTCTTCATCAGGTTTTGGTATTACCAAATACGAAACTCTCACTCACTAAGCTGTCTCATGTACTACCTAAACCTGTAAGGTACCAAGACTACAAAAGCTGTAAATATAAATACTATATAATTAATAAGTGATTTATTATACCCTTGAACTGCTAGCAAGATAACGGTTTGCTTCTAGTTTCTACCAGCTGATGACTAGCTATGACTTATCAAAACAAAAAACCTAGGTCTACGTATCTCCTGAAGTATGCAGAAGTCTTGACATTCTGGATACAGCTTGCTACTACAATAAGCCTCCTTCAAAAGCCCAGATGCAGTCCAAGCAAGTGTTCACTGCTCTAGTGCTGATCCCACTGACCGCTGGATTGGCAACTTTTGGAACTAAGATCCCATTCTGTGTTTGTTACAGCAGCAGTCTTATGAGAAGTACTAAACAATAAATATAAAAGATAATAGAAGTGAGGTTTAGCCCTAGTTTGATGTAGAATTGCACTGCTTGTGTATGTTATATAGTATGTAACCAATTCAACAGACTCCTACATAAAATCGAGCGCAAGCCCTCTCTGGTTGCAGAGAGCAGCTCTAGGCCATGACTAGGATATCCAAGCCATAGGAAGAGTGAAACTATAGAACATTTAGATTAGACTTCTTCCAAATTTATTTTAAATGTCCTACAATTCTCATCTCTGTGCTTTTTAGGGGATCTTAAATTGTGAAATCTTTGCCCCACAGTCATCTAACATTTGACTGAGGAAGAGAGAGGCTAGCACAAGGTAGCTTCCTAAGTTCACCATTAGGTTTTCCCACAATGTCCCCCTCTGAACCAAACAGTATTTCTGTTGTCCATGTTGAAAATCATTTAAACTATCTTATTCGCAAATTGTCAAAAGATATCTTTAAATAGAGATCCAACGCTTCCCATAAGTTTTACACTTTCAAATCAGAGAAGGGAAAAACCACATTTTTGGCTAGTGAGTCTATTCTGGATATGCACAAATGGAATGAAATTATTTTGTGGTGTACCTGATAAGGAAAGTTAATCGCTAGATAGAAATTGGTTGGAAAACAGATTTAAATGGCAGAGCAATAGAACTTGCCTTATTCGGCTGCCACCGGCAATGCAACAGAAGTAGTACTCCTGAGATGCAGAAGAAATGTTTATAGCAGGGAAAACAACACAGACACAGACCTGCTGAGGTCTCTTTATCTGATAACTTTGTGGTAATTGCCTTTCGTGCCCCGTGGCATGTAGGATGCGCTAATTTGGCATTCAGTGAATACAGCAAAGAAGCATAATGCAAACAAAGAAGAGTCAAACTCTACACTACCACTTTACTAAATTGCCAAGACACAGCGGCATTTACATTATCACAAAGTCCAAGATAGACATTTCTATGGTACAATATCATCCTCTTCCTAGAGTCCAGTCCCATTTCCATCAGTGTACCTGACTGATTTCACCATTTCTTTCTGAGGGGCTCTGCTGAGCAGTTACGGGCATTTCTTCCTCTTGTCCATTTCCCTGATGACATCTTCTATATTGAAGATAGAAAGCCTTCAAAAACTGTTTCTGCCAAAATCAAGATGAATTTTGCCTGTGATTTTACTGGGTTTAGAACTTGCCTTCCTTTCTTTTCACCAACTACTGCATAGAAGCAAAGCCATCAGTATCGCTGAGCATTGCTCCATTCCCAGACACCTTCTTCTGTCAGACAGACAGGTTTTTTAAATATTCTTAATTTGTATTTTGGGGTATTTTTTATCCCATCCTTTCCATACTGGCAGTGTCTCATCTCTTAAAATCCACATGCAGCTGTGAGTATGTGTGTTCTCTCTTTCTTGTAATAGCTGACCCCAATGACAGCAAGCCTTTATTACTAACTGCAGGGAAGAATGCACAACACTATGCTCTGACACAGCTGTACCTCCTTCACATCTGCATTACAGTCACTCATTCAGGATTCAGACTCATCACTTCACATAGTTTAATTTTAGGAGAAGAGTACCAAGAACTATAAGAATTAAAGAAGAATGGACTAAGGTACACATACAGCCATACACGCATATACAAATGTGGCATATGCTCAGTAATTTTTATTATTTTCTGTTTATAATCTGGTCACACCCCTGGTCCCCAGCCCCATTATGAAAAATCTTACCAGAGTGTTCCACACACACAGCAGCCTTTTTCACAGAGATGAGGCAGCAGATGCCAGACTGAGATTTTGTATTAATAACGCACTGAGGAAATAATTAGAAATACATTGATCCTTTACATCCTTATGAATTTGCTAATAAAGGCCAGGATTCACCCCTGCGGAAGGTAAATTCAGCTCCCAATGCATTCAATACAAGTTGCACACATTTCTGTAAGGGATAAGTTGCATGCAGAGAGTTTAGTGTATATTGTTACACCAAATCAAGTAAGACGCAACAGATGTACAGAGAAATGGTTGGAGAGGGGCAAAAAGATACAGTCCAAGGTCTAAATGCCAAGTTTGCACGTATACCAGCTGCTCTGCAGCACAGGAGAGAGAGAGGGAGAGAGGCAAACAAATACTTACCAGGTTTAATTTCCAGCAGCTTCAGCCTGGAATCCTCAGGGGGATGCAAACGCCTCTTTTTGCGCCAGCAACGTGCTGGGTACGTGTACAGCTGACCTGGGGCCAGGCCTGAAGGTAAAAGGCAAAAGATAAATATAATCACATCTCAGTTTGCAAACCACAAGCACTGTCTCCAGCATCTTTGTTTTTGCCCTTCCAGCATATTGTTTGTTGGAGGGTTCAATCTTGCACATCATGAGGCAGAACTACACACTCAAGGCATCCAGTGCTCCTGAGGCTCCTCAGCACCTCTTGGGATCAGGCCTACAGAGAATCTAGGTCTCACTTAGACACTTCACTCAGCTCACTGAAACCAGAGCCGCACATAAATAATTTGTGATTTCTTGAAGGTAAATAGAATTTCAGACTCTCCTGGGTTACAGGGGTGATGCTTCCTCCACTGGCAGAGAAAGCCCCTTGGGAGGGAAGAGATGAAGTTCTGACATGCAAATCATAAGGCCCTGATGCACAGAGCAGCTCTGGAAATTTTTGTCTTCCAAGTGGGAACAGATCAATATCCATGAGGTCCTTCTATTTGGACTCTGTATTTTTGCTTGAATTCTGGATTTCTGCTTGAAGACAGATACCTCGTTCTAGTTATTACCTCCTCATGCCAACATCCTGGATGTGGGAGGAGATACAGCAGTAATGTTTATATTACTGCATGCTCCATTGAATCACATTTGGCATCACTGGCTTCTGAGCTGCCCTGGTTCTCCTGACAGACACCCCTTAGCCAACATTCAAGCTATGCTTTGCTCTCTTGTATTCAGAACACAGCAGGGCTTCGTGAATGCTACTAGGGACACAGATGCACACTGCCAAGTGCTTCAAAGTGTCCTCAACTGCCCCAGATACTCATGACACAGAGAAATACCCAGCAAGACACAGAAAAGTTGGAAGAATTTAATTCTCTCCCTGCTCCGCCTACCCTTTCCATCCACCAATTCTGCTTTGGCTCTTCTGTCCTTCTGCTGTTGCTTTGTCTTGAAGGGGCTACAGAGTGTGACTGCAATTTCAGACTCATTGCTGGTAGAAAACGGTAAGATCGCATAAGAAAGGACAGGATTGGTGTTACCTATCAAGACTGCACCAACAATGAACAGCTGGGTGCCAGTGAAGTAGAACAGCTCAAGGGCAGCATGATGGCTGAAGTGTTCTCTCATTCTTCTGAAACAGTCAGGAGAGTGGACCAGATTGAGAACAAAACTGATCCACCAAACCAAATGAGGATAATGAAAACAATATCCTGTTACGTGGGGAAAAGACACAACAAAATTATTCACCTCAAGAGAATGGGCCAATCAAATTCTGCAAGTGAAGCCTAAGCTCCTGGTTTGAAATATTTCAACTGTTGGAAATACTAGTTCAGACCCCAGCACTTCGCACCTACCTCTAAGGCTGTGGTGCATAAACTAAGCATCTACAGGACACTGCCTGTTATGGCCAAATGATGGAGTATTCGAAGAGATCCTGGCTGTTCCAGGACACACAATGCTACCAAATGGTGGGGTTTCACACACTTCTTTCATTGCTGCACAGCTTACTGGGCATTATGCCCACCCTAAGAAAGATAGATTTCAGAGCAGGGCACTTAGGACTGGTTTGGGAAATAAAAATTGTGAATAACTAGCACTTCTGCAGTGTTTAGACACACTTCTTCATGGCACTTTGCAAACATTAACCACTGCAAACAATTGCTATTATGATGAGGTGGATTGTGCCTGGCTCTGATGTGAGTCGTTAGAGAGGTGGAGGCAAGAAGCCTCACCCTTTCCCAGCAGGTCCTCTGCAAGAACTTGCTCACAACATTGAAATGGCAGTTGCTAGACCAAAGAATAGGACAGAGAACCAGCTCTCCATTGCAGAAGCCTCCACAGAGAAGTCATCTGAATGAAATAAGCACCACAGCATTGAGCACTAGTCCCAGACAGGGAGGAACAAGGATCTATGCGGTTTTTGGGGAGTATCTGTTCATGTTCAATTACTGAGTGCGCATACATGAAAGAGCAGTTTGGATTCAGGCAGGGCAGTGAAAGTCAACCACAAATACTGAAAGCCCAACAAGAAACAAAGCAAGTAGCCTTGAAAAAGCAGAGGTGGGAAAGCCTCTTCCCTAGAGGACCTACAACCTACTCCAGGTGGCAGACAGATCACTAAGAGATGGACGATCCAACATCCATTTCTGCAACCCTTGAGGCAAGATCTCAGTTTCTATTCACAATACCCTTGCTCATTAATACACAGCCATTCAGTGAACTTAAAAACATATCTAACTTTTGCTTGATCCAAACCTATAAAATGCTACCTTCGGTTTTCCACCTTGACCTCCACTGTGCTGGCTCACATGATGTGTGGATCTGTGATTCTTTACACAAAGGAGGATCAAGGAGGAAAAGGTCAGTTCTGAATACTTTGAATCTAGCCCATACACAGTTGATCTTGCAGTGCATATGGAAATGATGCATATACAGGTCTTACTGTCTTCAGTACTGGTTCAGATGTCTCTCCTTCTGGTGCCTTATAGGGCAACCAAAGAAGGCTCCAGCCATTTGCGTATTGATGGAATAGCAGAACCTGCAGTGAGCTATGTTGTTTATCTCATTAGTGTAGGAGAGTCATAACTCAAAGCTGGTGTGAAAGGCTGGGGGAGGAGGGGAAAAGGAGGGAGTTATGTGCAGTATTGTGTGAAATTAACCCTGAACTCTTTATCATGAAATGCAGTTTTCTGACTCCTTTAACAAAGAGGACAGCAAGAACCCAGGTTAATATGCTGATATCCTGACTCTTCTCTCTGTTTTTCAAGCCTAAATGAAAAGAGGTCCTGGAGTTTTACCATTTGTCTTTGTACAGTTTTTCAGATTAGGGATAGTAAATGGCATTGAACACAATACACAAGACAGATACATACAGGGTGGTTGGCAGAGACTTTCCAGAGCCCTTCAGTATGGACATAAATGCCTTTGTACAGCCTGAAAACAGGCATGCTAAAGCTGTAGAGGGATGCTTTGACCCACCATAATATTGCAAGAAATAGATGATGCAAAGACACCCAAGGGAGCACTAAATGGGCTAATAAAAAACAAGAAAGAGGAAAGTGTACATGGGGGAGGAGGGCTGCTTCATTTCGCACTGATTATTCTAATTCTAAATAACAAAGGCACAGATCTGGTAGCCAGTGCAGATGTGGGAGGCATGTTTCACACTGACTCTCTGTGAAGAATGTTCCATCGTCTCCACTGCAGACCTGCAGGAGAAATGCCAGTGATCCCCTTTGGCAGGGTAAACTGATAGCTCACTATCAGAAGTGAGGAATGAAAGATTTGCACAGTGAATTTTCTCAAGGTAGTTCAGACAGCTTGTGGCTGAGAAAGGCAAAGTGTTAAGACCTCTTGGTTCCTGATGTGATGCCATAATGTTGTTATGATGATTTCTTCTGTAAGTGTGGAGACACCAGTGAGACCCATACGAGTCTACCTGTGTCTATCTTTTAGCAGATGCTCTTGCCAAAACATTACTTTGTGGATACAGTGGATGTACACCTACTTATGACTGTGCTCAAAAGGGTAAAAATAGCAGCCCCTTACTCAACAAGATGCTAAAAGAACAGAAATTCTTTGGGTAAATAGATTAGCAAATAAAAAATAAAAAAAAGGGAAAAAAGGAAAGCTAGTTTTTATGCCAAGGCATAATCTCTTAGGAATGGGGAATATTCGGCTGAAATAAAAACCCAGCTGTGGTCATGAAGCAACCTACAAATGAAGGGTTAGCCCAGAACCTCAGACAACTCCCAGCTTGTAAACCACATTCAGCAGTCCCAGATTACCCCAGCAGATTTGGCAGCTGAGACATGTTTCGGGTATTTTTAACACTGGTAAAACACCTGTTGCCTCCTGCACCAGAACTGGCTGTGTTTTACCATAGAAAAAGCTTTCTGATAATACTGCAAGGCAATACTAAACCTACTTTGGATATTTCAGCAATTGAAGCAGTGCAAGGATTGTTCTCTCAGTATATCCTAGGAAAGGGAGAGGGAAAGCTTCAGCTAAGCACTCTTCAGAAGCAGCAATTGCTTTGTTAGCCCCAGGAGGGGTGGGAAATATCCTATGTATTCCTGCCATTCCTGCAAACTGTCCAGTGGAAGAGGTAAGAGCAGGCTGTACCTTCCTGTAATTCCAGATCTGGAGTTTTGGGCGTTTTTTCAGTATGGTTTATAGGAACTGGCATGTGTACACGTGCATATGTGCAAGTCATGCTCCCAGTGCCCATGCACCCTACCACCCTCCCTGCCTGCATTCTCTGGTCTGCCCCTGAAAAAAAAACAACCAAAATAATAGAACCCCAGTTTGGTGTTGTCAAAAAAAACTGTTCCTTGAGCTAATGGTGTGTCAGACGCTGAGCCACACTCGGCAAAAATTTCTCCTGGGGCTCAGGAGGACTTCTGACTAACACCTACAGCCTTTGAACTGATGACTGTCCTTTGCCTTTCAAACACAGATTTCAGAAGAACTTACTCTAACATAGGAAAGACTGACCAAAGTCTAAAAAAATAACAGCGGTCTTTTCCCTTGGGCTTCACTGAGCTTTGGAATAGGCATTAGCCAAAGCTCTTTAAGGACATACATAAACCAGGAGTTATAGATATGTTTGTAACCACCAAAAAAACATTCATTCCAATAACTGAACTCTCCTCTATTTTACATCAGCCTTATATCCTTCCCTATATAATTCCTTATTTTCAGCATTCACCTGAGAAACTCCCACCTCCACCTCCCCACCCTGAAGACAATTCCAGTCTGACCTAGAGCAAAGCATTGTGTCTTCTGCTACAGACTGGGATCAATAGCATGAATAGAGTGACGATGCAGCCTTAGAAACTACCATGCCAGGCACTTCTTTGGGTAGAGGGAGAATAATCAGGATGAGCTCTCTGCAGTTACCAAAGGAAATCCCCTGCAGGCACAGAGGTTTAGGCAGCTTCTCTTCTGTGTGGCCTGCAGCAGGTTTGAGCTCCTATTAATTAAACCCCATGAGGGCTCGGTGGCCAGCCCTCCATACACACATGCATACACACACACAATGCTGCCGACCTGGTCCCCTGTGTCTCTTCTCCATCCAGATGTAGCAGTTGTTCTGAGCTACCCCCGTTTGTGAATCCAGGAAGGGAAGGCGGACGCTGCGCTCAGCACACAGCCGAGAGTTGTAGCTGCGACAGTGCTCGATTGCTTCTTTGTAGAACTGGTCCCCGAGTCTGCCAAAAGAGACAGGGCAGAGAGTAAGAGAGACTGCACCATCCCCTCAAACAAGATGAGGAAAAAGAGGACGTCAGGTTGGTTTATAAGTGCACAAGCAGAAAAAATTTCCCTGATGACATGCAAAGCTTGCTGACACGAGACACTGGAGGAGCAGATCATGCAGAACGTGCCAACAAAAGATCAGACACTCAGGAACTGGACACAGATCTTTTCAGCAGTGGCACAGCTACCAAATGAGCCAATGATGCAACCACACTGGCCCATGACCCTGGGTAAGGCAACACATACACCACAGGGAACTCATTCTATTATTTCTCTTCCCCCGTGGTTTGTCCAGCCAATGCAGCAAACCAGTCATTTCAACCCTATGTTAACAGCAACTCCTGCACTATATTTTGAGCAACCAGAAAGCCAGCCAAGCTTAGAACTTTACTCCAGCATTTCTGGTGTCAGAGAGCCCATAAAAGGAAAGGGCATAGTCCTCATACTGAGTGCTTCTGAGGTATGAAAACAACTAGGGCCATGTCTGCAGTGGTCAGACTAGACATTTGGTCATAACCCTTCCAGAATTTGCCACACTCAAGCCTGAGGCACCAGCAGCAGCAGGCTACAACACTGACCAGTAAGATCCAGCATGGCAAATGCTGCTTTCCTCTGAGGCCCAGTGGGACGGACAGTTCTAAAGACAATGTCACTTACTTCGTAAATAACTATTTGTTCAAAAATTCCATACAATCTTCATCTTCCCTTGAGAAAGGTTTAAAAACTCTGCTTGCTGGAGATTACCAAAATCCTCCCTCCAAATGTTTCTAAACAGGGAAAAGCATCAAAGTAAAGCTACCCTAAGGACACAAAGCAGCTGTCATGCTGGAGTATTGCAAAGTAGGTGGGCCACACTACTGAACCTCATTCTTGATCTGTTGTCAAGATGAAATTGAGTTGTGACATGAAATAGCTAGGAAAGGTACCCATTAGGGGTAAGTTCATTAGAAAAATAGGAGTAGAGTGATACATAGCATAACTTGCTCTGACTCTGATATTCATTAGTGTGCAAAAAGAGCATAGCATGCACTGCAAGGGAGCCAAAGGGATGCATGCACAGAGATAAAAGAGGCTCCCTTTCCTGGTTTATTAGTTGTTTTCCCCACTATCCTCTTCCACAGGCACAATTGGTGTTTTAAAAGTATACTCCCTTTGCACACCTCTGAACGTCAAATCACAGCAACTTGCTCTGTTTTACCCTCTGTGTCTTTTTTCTGACTCACACCTTCTAAGTCACTCCTTGGTTGCACCTTTTGACTTCCATGGAAGCCATCTTCTTTTCCCCTGGGCTGTACTAGCCCAATACCCTCTTGCTGAGAGGGGCCAACAGCAGAGGCTCAAGGAAGAGTGCAAGACCAGGGCAAATACAGAGGGAGGCACCTCTAGTTCCCCATTCTCATGTCTGATGATCAGAACTTAGCTTCCCCAAGTCTCAGGTTACCCAATGGTGGCAATATTACGTTTAATACTTCGGTGATTCTTTTGTCCTTGAATTTATCCAACCAGCTCTTCAAACCACTTAACTTTCTCATACCTAAAATGTTGCGGGGTGACGAGTTCCACAGCTGAAATGGTTCATGTGAAAAACCCACTTTCTTATGCTTATTTTAAGCCATATCTCAATTATGTATAATTACAAGTCCATAAGTCTCTCACAAAGCTTCCACCAGGTCATTTCTCTAATGAGCAGAGGGTATCCAGCACACTGAGCCCCCGGATGTGGAATGAATACCATGTCTGCATGCTAAAGCCCACCAGCTTCCTGCTGCCTTCTGCTATTCTGACTTCATCTGCTGCATTTCAAAGCATCCTCAAGGGAGAGAAGGGAGCAGGAATCACACTCAGGAGTCGGTATGTCCCTTGGCTACAGAGACTTTCTAAGGGTTGTTCAGTGGGTTTGTGCAGTAGCGAACGTCTGTGTGTATGTGGTGCCTCACAGACCTGTCCCCCTACTGCTGACCACCAGCTCCTGGGGAGCAGCCAGTGCAGGGATCTTTGCAGGGCAGGTGAAGGAGAGAGCTCTCTGGTCTAACATGCAGAGGGCAGAGCCATGGGCAAGCACAGTGGGATCCCTCTGGACACTGAATCCCCCACAGTGGCCTCAAACCCCTTTTTCCATAAAAAGGCAGGGGGGATGTAAGGGAAGAGCAGGAGAAAGGAAAAGATAAGCTGCCCTACTACAGAAAGAATGTGACTAGGAAGACATGAAAGCTTATTAAAAGCTGTAATTAAAGTTGTACACTTGTGTAATCAAAGTCAGTAACAAGGAGACTCCAGTTGATCAAAGATTAACAGCTCTTTCCAGAAACACTTGAGCTTCCACAGAGCTATGTCATATTCCCCCTGTAATAGGCCAGAGATGCTCACTAACTCCAAGGAGTTTACTGGAAGGATGAGCACTGGTGTGGGACAACAAAATGCCACCCCTGCAGAGGTGTTCTTTATGCTAAAACTCAATCCACTCATCAGAATGTAACTGCACCACAAAGCATCCATATTAACAAAACCAGTATGTCTCAGCAGCCCAGATACAGGATCTGGCTGGAGATGACCTCAGCTTCCACATTCTTCTAAGACTGAAAATAACTGTAAATCTTAGAATATTAAATATTTGGCTTTAAATGGCACACTCAAGTGGGTTGTAAAATTAAATTTCAGATTTGTACTAGAGAGAGAAAGGATTTTTTTTTTTAACCATAATGGGAGAGAAACTGCCCAGTTAACAGGTCACATTCAGTCTTGACACAGTCTTGTAATCTAGCTGTTTCATTACATTTATGTTAAAGATATTAAATATGCATCTTTTGCCTTAAAGAAAAATAGTTTAGGGAAAGCATTTAGTCATCTCCATACTTTAAGAAAGCTTGCCTTGGCTCCACTACAGCAAGCATGATCAAAACCCCCAGACCTATAGTATTCATTGGAAACGTATTCAGATACTGGGACATTGAGGATTTGCCCTGACTTTAATTATAAATGGAACTTTTAAAAGGTGACAAATAATCAAATACAGGAAAATAAAGGAACAATATTTCCTTATGACAGTCATATCTCAGTGGAAAACAGCTTCTCTCAAATTACTTCTGGGTAGCTGGTTGTTTTGTTTTACCATTAGACTTCACTGGAGTGACTCCCACTCATTCCAAATTTCAGTTAGGTTTTTTTCTTTAAGGAACTTTAAACTTCAAGATTTGTTTTCTTTATTTTCTGTGCTACATATCTAAACAGAGTATATTTGGCCTTACGCAGGAAAAGCAGAAAGTATTATTAGAATTGGGTTAAAAGAGGGAAAGTACAATCCAATTGTGCTCATCATTGTGAATTCCTGGAGGTGGGACAAATACCAGTGCCCTCCCAGGAGGCTTACAATGGAGCTGGAGAACAAGGACGGGAATAAGACTTGAGAGTACAAGAGCTCAAATCAAACTCAAACGGATCAACTGAGTTTGAGCAAGCAAGATACACAAAACAAAAAAGAAAAATAAACAGACAATATGAATAGTAAAAAAGTGTATGATATGTCAGAAAGATTAATTAGCTGATGTTACATGCTTCATAGTTTTCCCAAGCTGTGTTGCTATGGAACACTTACACTTCATCTCCTGAAAAAAATATCTAAAGGCTATGGGGAATTTCTGCATTATTTTTATGAAAAGTATGTATGAGTCAGTGCTGTGCTGTGATTGACTGCAAGGGTCGATCCTTCCCTTTGGACACGGGAGTGAAAGGTCACACAGACTTGCCTAGATTGATATTAATGACACAAAATCATCAGCATACGCATAGATTTCAAAGACGCTGGGGAAAACAAAATTAAGGAGCAGACATGAACAACTGCATGTCTAGGAAGGCAAATCATCCTGAAAAGAGCACAACTGGAAACGCAGAGTACAGTTGTCAGCACGCTACTAAAAGCACAGAGCCCTTCAGTGCAAGGCCACAGATGAAATCCCAGATGCTTGGGGCAGGTGGGAGGATGACACTGCTGGCACACACACAGGCTTTGCATTGACATTCCAGCCCAAGGACACTAAAATAACCTGGTTCTGGATGACTATGAAAAGCTCCCTGGCTTGGAAAGAACAACCTGTACACCCAGAATCTCTGCAAGGCTGCATGGGGGAGGTATACGTCTACTAGTAGTTAGTGGCTCTTTTTATGTGAAAAAGGAGGGGACTGAAACTAAACAGCAGGCTTGGAGCACCAGAAATGTAGTGTGTACAGGGAGGTGAGCACTCTGAAAGCACCACCAGCTCCAAGGGTCCTGGGACAGCGATGTGAGACTGGTGCAATTCCATGCAGCCTTACAGGTTGTCACTGGTATGAGAGCGTGCACGGGGATGGAGGGTCGTCCCCTGTGACTTTCATGAGGTCACTGTCCTTTTAAGCATTGAGAGACTGAGTTTTTTTGTGATAGAATCAGGTCACCTAATAACAAAGTTGGCAAAGAACAACCCTTCCCTTCTCTCAACCTTCGCCTACCTGCTTTAACTAGACCAGAAGTTTTCTGATCAAACTCTGTCATACCACTGTTCTGTACAGTACCTCCTGTACTCCTCTGTCTAGGTATGCCTTAAACAACAAAAAAAAAAACCAAAACAAAAACCAATAAGAACTGGCCTGGCTTATAAACCTGTAAGTGAGCAACAAGGGCCCAGAGCCTGGCTTCACTCCAGCTGCTCCAGGACATTTATTTCCCGGCTGACAAGGGATCCTGATGGGCCCTGAAAGCAGCAAAGCAGCTCTCCACCACTGCTTTCCTGCCCATCCCGCAAAGTCACAGCTATCCAAGTTTCATGTTTCAGGTTAGGATCGAGAGGAGAGCACTCACTGAAGACATAAAACCAGCCAAGCTCAGCAATGATTACTGGCCCACATCACCCCTGGAGAACTTGTATAACAAAGAAGCAGTCCTCCGTAAGTGCAGCTCTTAAATTTTCAACATATTCTTTGA